CCCCCCCCCCCCCCCATTTCCCTGTGCCCGCCATCCTTATTCCCCCGTAATTTCTCCGCCCTCCCCTCCCCCTCACTCTATACTGGTGTGGCACGTTGGCATGGGCCACTCTCACCTCCGGCCTTCCTGTGGTTTTCGTATGCAGATACAACACGCCAATTTCGACGGCCTCGCTTCGATTCGATTTGATGAGCTACTGTCCGCATGTGCTTGCCTGCTTGCACTTGTTTTTTTTTTTTTTACAGTTTCCCCTTCCTGGTGGACAACTGCGGGCTGTGCTACGGATCGGAGCGGGCTTCGATTGTCGAGGGCGGGGCCGGCTCCATCGGGCAAGAGTTCTGCGACATCTGTATCGGCTTGGAGTGAGTATGCGGAAGGGTTCGGGTTAGAACATGCCACCAGAGGTTAGCAGTTAAGAAATCGAGGCTGAAGAAATCCAGAGTCTAAGACTTAGCCATAAGAACAGGTGCTCAGTCAAGAAGCATATACTAAAACCTACGTAGTCGCCGTGGGGTACAGTACTGTACCCCATACCGGTAGATTAAATAAGAAACGAGCGTCGACCAAAAACAATTGCTCCGTAAGTGGTGGCGCGTTCTGCAGTATCGCCTGTTGTAGTATAACGGTTGGGTGGAAGCCGTTTATTGTGCCGTGTTTTTCTCCCCCGGCAGCAGCAGTAGTGTTTCGCTTGCTCATCTGGCTTCATCTTGAGGGCTTTGGATGGGACTCGTGGACGTGAAAGGTGTTGGAGGTTTGGAGGTTTGGTCAAGGGCATCGCCCAGTGGCTGCATCTCGGATTGGCATGGCGATGGCTGTTTTTTATGTCGGCGAAACAAGCGTTCATGTGTCTGTGCAACCGTGCACCATGCTTGAATACCAGCGAAAGAGGTATTGGAATATTGTACCGTACCGTACCGTATGCGACACAAGATAGTACGCCGGCACATGCACACCCGTCAACATCGTTTTGTCGGGTCGACATGACGGCAAAACATACACAGAACAACGTATTTAGTAGATCAAGCAATACAAGATGCCGCACACCCCGGAGATAACACACCCGGTCACAGTTTGTTCTGAAACCAAGATTTTTCTCGACAGGGTTTGTTGTTTTTTTGGTGTACGGCAATTGGCGTGTCCAGCTTATCTTGGCGTCGTTCGCCGTGGCTGTACGGAGAAATGCACGTTGTGCACATGTTTCTCGGCCACATACCTACCCTGGCAAGTGGCGACGTGGAACGAGCCGTGTATACACCGACAAACACCCGACTCGCAATGCTTACGGTCGCAATGCTCAAAGTCGCCAATAACAGCAGTAGACACCTCCGAAAGTTGTGGCCGACCGTTGACTTTGAAGCGGTGTGGCTCGTGGTGTGCGGCAATGTTTCTGTGTCTGCATGGCGCGATGATTCTGCCTCTTTGGGGTCTCTGCTCTGCTCTGCTTTGATTCGGAGGGCAAACTGGGCCCGTTCTACAGACGGAACGACCGCTCTTTCTTCGCTGCATACAGCTGCAATCTATCGTTTCACTTGGTAAATTTTGGTGCGGTCGTTTCGGCGTTTTGCGGGAAGATTGTTTCCGGTTGGGAGCACGGAGGCCTCGTCTGAGCCGAGCGTGACTGTCTGCGTCCTCTCTTCGCTGCCATGATTCGCCTGTTTTGCCTCCTTTTCGCACGTTCGCAGGTAGGTCCTTTCGTGTTTTTTGCGGCAAGATTTGTGCCGGTTCGTGTCACGGGGACCTCATCTGAACCGTGACTGGTGCTGTCTGCGTGCTCTCTCGTCGTTATCGTATCTATGTATTTCTCGTCTGTTGCTCTTGGCTTGACTTGGCAGGGTGTGCTTTCTTGACGATGGGTGCGCCGACGTGGATCAAGTGATGCCCGTGCTCGGCGACGTTCGGGGAACCAACGCGTCCCTGGTGAGCAAGCCTATTCCACCGCATGTTCGTCGGGAGTGACGGTCACCGTTCCAGTGCGTGTTCTCAGAAATTCTGCACCGGAAGGAGAACTCGCGGTGGTTGGTTTGGGGGAGAGACACGTCCTTTTGTGAGCAGAGATGCGGAGACAAAATAGTAGAGGCTTAGAAACGTGCTCTGCCAGGTTGGTATCGTATAACTCTCTCTCTTTCCTCAGGGCGTAAAACATTGTGGTTCGGGCAAAAGATTTTTTTTTCGCTTATATAGCCGTTGCGCTCGTCAGGTTGTGCGTGCTAGGTACGCATCTCATCGCCAGGTCGTTTGCTTTTGTTATCGTTAATGTGGAGGTACGGACACTCATGCACTACATTAATTCGTTCATTCATGAGGCTGGTTTTTCGGCGAGCGTTCAATGTCGTCGGAGTTGCTTCTCTTTCTGTTCGAAGCGCGGGGCATCCGCTTGTTGGTTTCCCCCCCTCTATGTTGGTTAACTGCTCAAGAACTCCTGACGGTAGCGACCCCGTGTTTGCGTTGGTGTGTCGGTGATTCAGGTGACAGTGTTTTCCAACGAGGACTGCTACAGCAACAGCACTACCGAGACCTTTCCCAGACCCTTTTGGGCGAACCACGGCATGACGAGCACGATCGCCAATCCGTCGCTGGAAGATGAGGTGGTACTGCTTCCGACGGGGAGAGGCTATGTGGCGAACAAGAACAGGATGATTGGCGCGGTAAGGTTAGGGACGTGCGACAGACAGACGAAGAGAGAGAGACAGAGAGAGACAGAGAGAGACAGAGAGACAGAGAGACAGAGAGAGAGAGAGAGAGAGACAGACAGACAGACAGACAGACAGACAGACAGACAGACAGACAGACAGACAGACAGACAGACAGACAGACAGACAGACAGACACAGAGAGAGAGACAGAGGAGGCGAAGGAAGCAGCAGAGATGTGGGCAAACAGAGACAGACAGACAGACAAGCAGGCAGACGGACAGAAAACAGAGAAAGAAATGAGGTCGACAGAAAACGACAATGAGAAGGAGATAACGAGATAGACAGAGAGACGGAAAGAAACTGACAAGAGTTCCTGCTTCTATGGGATGTTTCTGATTGTTGGATTGTTGGATTGTTGGATATTTTGTTGCTCGTATTTTTCTTTTTTCTTCTTTCGTACCAAAGCAAATCAAGTTCATCTCTACGCACGGTAAGAGGCCAGCGTATATTGTTACCTCCCTACCTGCTTTTTATCTCATCTCCGAGCAGCTTGATAGTTGTTTCAGGGGTCGGGTGGGCCTGTTCCAATGGTATGCAGATGATGCTATTCAGTACACTTTTTTCTTTCTCAGGTAGGTGTTGTGGCGTGAATGCTTGTGAGAGGCAGTCGAACATCGCAGAAGGACACGCCGTCCGTGATGAGTCGTTCTGTAGTCGTGTGGGATGCGTTGGTAGCAGTCTTGACCCTTGAAGATTGAGGAAACACGGGCAGTGTACTAACTTTAAGACGACCGTACAATTCCCCTTGGTGGCGCGCGAGCAGCTGTTGATGGAGTGGACGTACTACAAGGAAGGGGAGTGCGAGGGGACCTACGACCCTAGCTTCTACGGCTCCTGCTTTCGGGACCAGGGTAGCCAAGAGGACATGCTGGACGACGTGCAGGATGCCCGGATGAACACGCTCATTACCGTACAGGTCAAAGAAGGTGTGTCCTCTGCTTCACGCTTACGGTCCGTATTCTACCCAAGGCAGCACACCACCACCCACACGCACACATGCAGAAGATATCACACAGGCAGGGCTGAAAACACGCTCATTGCCGTACAGGTCATAGGAAGATGTACCGTCCTCTCCCCATGCAAGCTTACCGTATTCCACTCATGATAACACCCTCACAGGAAGTAATGCCCCCCACAAGAGATAACTCCACACACACACACACAGAGTATCACACCCGTTCATATTTGTATTTTGGCGGCTCAATATTCGTCCAAAACGTGAAAAGATAGTCTCATCACATGTGGTCTCATGAGATGATGCGCTACAAAACGGTCACCGACGATGCCGCAAACCCTCCAAGAATATCATTCGTAAACGCCAAACATGTTATCATCGAGGGGGACGTACTCTTTATGTTTTGCATGCCTTAGCGGTTAGACCCTTGACCACGCGTCCTCGACAGGACGGAGCATTGTTCAAACAGGACCGATCACCGATGGCCAATCGTTCCTTCCTGCACTTTGCCAAAGGCGGCTCGAAGATGCCATCCTATCGATGTCACTTCCCGCCTTGTCCACCTACTTCCTATGCCCCAGTATAGTTACCGTCTTTTCCCGGCTATTCCATGCCTCAAACATGTCCCTGTATCTTCCTTCTACATACTTTTGCCATGTACACTTCCCTTTCCTTCTCGTACAAGGGACATCCCGCAACTATATGAACCCGGCCTTCGCACTCAGAGCCGTATTCGCAATTGACCTTGTCGTCCTCATCTTCTACGTTCCTAAACCTACCGTTGGGAGGGGGGGTACTCATGGTCGTGCATGCCGTAGTCGTTAGACCATTGACCTCGCATCCCTACAAAGCCGGGACGGAGCACGCCGGGTTCTCACCGGACCAGGCTCTCACATCACCAAGCGCGAAGCACTGTGAGGTATTCGGCGAGTCGCATGAAGGGTGCGCTGCATCCTGCTAAGGGTGTTCGGCATCTTGTGCTTACTTCCTTGCGTACGGATGACAACTGCGTATGACTTACTTTATTTTCTGGTGCTTTCACTTCCAGAGACAGTTATAAGCACTGTGTAACTGCCTCGAGGAAGCTTGACCATTTTAACACAACGTGGTGCGATCATCCCCCGTTGCGCGGAGTGAGGTTTCTCCACCCCGCACAACATAATCTACTCGACCACCATTCATGGTTACCGCAAAAAAAAAAGAAGTAAAAAAAAAAGCGGTAACCTGGTTGATGAGCTCGCGAAGTGATCGGCTTGTTTTACAACGTCGTTGCCAAGCGACGAAAACCCAACCCCGATGGCAAATATCGCCTCCGGGGGGGGGGGGTTATCATGTATGTCATCACCCCTATTTTTCTTTCGGCTTGAATTTAGCGTGGTAGATCTCCATAGTAATGTGTTTGGAGTGGGTAAGGATTTTTGTAGGTTTGCTTGGTTCGGGTTCTGTGCATGTCCGTAAAGTCTCTAGCGGGGTTACCGTCGGCGGAGAGATCGATTGCTCCACAACCAAGAGTGATTGTACCAACACCGAAAGTGGTGATTTCCGAAACGTCTCGTCGAGGGCTTTCCGTTATCTTTTTCGCAACGTCCCATGGTGTTGTTGAAGAGTGCGACGGTAACATCCAACTCTGCCTGTACCCCGGCGATGACCGCCGGTGCCGCATGCCCTGGACTACATAATAGAAAGACATGCGCCCCTTCGAGAAAAGGCCCCAATCGAAGTCACGTCTTGAAGCCAATCCCAGTAGTGAGTGTAAAGAAAACCTGCTGTTGGGTAGTACTGCATCTCTGCTAGGCTTGTAGAAGTACTCGACAACCTTCTCCTTTTTTTTTTGCAATTTAGATGCAGGAACCTTCTTCCACTCTATTTTCAGTATTATTGCCAAAATCGACAACAAAAATAACAGGCAAGAACCTATCGAGTACATGTCCAATCTCTGCACACCACCCCCCTTCCTGTGGCTCTATCGCGTCCACGCTACACACACACCCAGGGCGGGAGGACCAGGGGCTGGTGTACAGCATCACGACCGACATTGGGGTGTTCAACTCCGGTCTCAACTTCAACCTGTGCGGCATGCTGGCCATCCTCGGCGGGCCTGACGTCATGACGGACGCGGTGCGATCGGTGTCGCTTCGGTTCAACACGTACAACGGCCAGTGCGACGGCCTCTTCTCCTTCGTCGACATCACCGCGCTGTTTACCCTGGGTAATACATACTGCAAGTAATCATAGGGAGGGCACACATGTGTGGGTAATAGGGGGGCCGCTCATGCGTGAAGGATCAGTCCACTCGTTGTCATGGTCACTTTCAGAGAAGCAAGTACGGAGGCCAACACATGTGTGGGTGGGTGCTACTTCTTAAGTAGCAGATAGGGAGGCCACACATGCATGAAGGTTGTGAATATCTCTATTGTGATGAAACGCCTTGCTCCAGACGACTTACCGTTTTTTTCCCCTCTTTGTTGGGTGTACTGTTGCAGGAGTAGGACACAACGGTCTGTCGGTCAGGTTTTCGACTACTGTTGTTCGTGTTTGGCAACCGTCTCTTCTCTCGTACTGCTGCGGATTTGGTAGACAGGCGCTGAGTGTTCCTCTCGATCTCCGACGATTTTAGTAACAACCTGACTATCCCCTTATGTCTGTTTGCAGCGGAGACGTCTGTTTGGATGCTCCATCACTCCGATGCTAAAACCCTCAGTCTGCCGCCCATCACGCGCATGCCTCCCCCTTGCCTGCCCAGGTTGGTCGATACAATCACCCCGGTTTTAGAAACGGCCAAGTGTTTGCATGTTTCGCTGGGGAAATAGTTTCCGTCCGTTTTTTTGTGTGTGTTTTCCTGTGGCAGGAGAGGAAGTGCAGATTAGTACCAGCGTGTTTGCGCGATTGTTCGTCTTTCGAAATTTCTGCCTGTGGTTTTTTCTTTTTCAAAGGGGAGGTAGGTGCAGATTGGTACCAGCGCTGTTTTCCCTTTCCCTGTTTCTTTTTTTAGTTTTCTTAGTAAAATACACATCCTAAGAAGAAACACAACAAGTATTTGTCCATCTCTTCCACAGAAAAGAGTCCGTGATAGAATAGTAATGAATGCATAGTGTTTTACGGTGACCAACTTGTATTTCTAGGGCCCCCCGAGCGGCATAGTCTACAGCGATATCTCCCCCTTTCCCCCGCGTTGCTCTGTTTTGGCTTTTGTTTTTCAGGAGGAGAGGTGAAGATGGTGACCTCCGTAGAGGTGTTTTCGATGCCCTTCTTCTTCGGCTCTAGCCCCGCCATCGTCGGGCGTGCCATAGCTATGTTCGCCTTCGGCCTAATGCTGGTCATCTACATTGGTGAGAGACAGAGCTGGACCCGTGTGTGTGTGTATTGTTAGTATTTGCATCTACCGCGCTAACCGGCTGGCCGATTCCGCGTGTGTTTCTTCTCTTCCCTTGTCCTCTTTGGGATTCCGTAATCTTCGTGTGGTGCTCTTGTTGTCGCTGCTGCTGCTCTTGTTGTTGTTGTGGCCTTCATGCCTGAACCACCTCTCTGTCCCAGACCCACTACCGCCTTGAGGCTAACCCAGTCATCACGTGCCCACACAGTTTGAATAGTTCTGTCTCGGGCGTGCCGTGTTGTACAACGGTACAGTATGGTATCCAGACTGTGATGATGCATCTTGTTTGCCGCCATGGGTACGATATGAGAGGGCAGACGAACGTGTTTGAGAGAGCCACGGCGCGAGCGGCTCGCTGGACAAGTGCGGGAGAGGATTTGCTTTGTTCGTTTGTTCGGCGCAATGCGCGGGTAGGTGTGGATTATAACGAGGACTAAGCGAGGACGAAGCGGGGAGACGGTTGCTCTTACATGTAAAACGCTGCTCGCGCGAGTGTCTCGCGGTAACCGCAGCGGAGATTTCCGTAACGCCTTGCTCGGCACGGTACGGTAATAACCGTTTTCGATAGAACCGTAATAACCGCCTTCGATGCTACCGCGGGACCCCGGTCGTGTCAGGCAAGGACGTGCTCCGTGCGTGGAGAGAGGTCAGGGACGGGCGGCATCGGCTATCAATGAGCCTGAGACACGTACCTGTCACGACGGTGAGCATTGATGAGACGTACGTCTTGCATGTGCCGGTGCCGGTGCCGGTGCCGGTGCTGGTGCTGGCTGTTGCTGTTGCTACTACTGCTGGGCGTATTTGTTGTGGAACGCAACCATCTCGCCACGCAACCTTCTGTGCTTGTTCTGTTCTGTCCTGTTTGCCTACTCGCCGGATCTGGCAGAAAATCTATCGGGCCGAATCACGTTCTCTTCAATTGTTTCGTTTCACTATGCTCGGTTACCATGCATACGCCAGTTTTGCTCCGAAGCTTATTCAGTTTTCGCTACATCCAGCGCTGACTCTCGTAGACCCTACAGCATGCCCGTGGGTTGATTGAGAAGGCAAGTTGTTACACTCCACGTGTACTGTTTTGCGATGATCATCCACAGTGTTTCTCGGCGATGAGAGCGAGCAGCAACTTGCAGGATTCCTTTTGCGCTGATCAGCAACCACTGCTGTGTTTCTCGGCGATGAGAGTAAACAGCAACTTACAGGAGCACTTTTGCGCTGATCAGCAACCACTGCTGTGTGCCTTGGCGATGAAAATTCCTCCCTACGAGTAAACAGCAATTTACATCAGCTCTTTTGCACGCATCGCCCAGTGATTTTCTCCGTGACGACCAATCCCGACGGGTAGACAGCAACTCACAACCGCACTCTTGCGCTCATCACCCAGTGTTGTCCTCGGCCACGACAAATTAATTGTCTCTTGCAAGAGCCAACCAACAACCAAGGTCCCTTCCACATGTTAGCGGTTCACCCTCTTGACGTCCCGTCCTTTTATTGTCGGCGGTTTCACCCATATCGCCTTTCACTTTTTGTTTCATTATTTTTTTATCGTTTTCGTGGACCATGCATGCATGCGCCCAGGCTACCGCGCTGAACCTCGTCGGAGACTGTGTGTTCCTGTGGAACCTGGTGCTGTGGGTGAACGTGGCCGTGACGGCCGCGAAGTTCGAGCTGATCCCGACGCTGTCCTACAACAACGCCTCCGAACAGGCGAGAACCGCCAACAAGGCCGCTCTACAGTACTGGTACAGGGAGAGATGTCGATGATTACCGCCTCTCCGTGTGTGAAGGAAGAGAGGGGAGCATAGACGTCTGCCGTGTGAAGTGAACTGCTTATGGCTGGGTTGCTTTTGATGCGGAAGGGAACCATGACGCCGAAAACAGCAACATCGTCAACACCGCAGACAGCATTAGCAGCAGCAACAACAACAGCGATTGTTGCCGTTGATGTGTAGATGACACCAACACCTCAGAAAAATCACCTCAGTTGACCACCTGATGCTCCAACAGGTGCGAGCTTTCAGCGAAGAATTGGCACTAGTAGCCCTAGAGCGTTGGAAGCGGGACGCGGCCGCAGTGGCCGGGAGCATCTTCGGCCTGACGAGGCTGTTCATCATGCTCCGGTTCCACCCGCGCTTGTCCCTGGTGACCGACGTCCTTACCGCTTCGGCTGTACACTTGGTACACTTCTTCATCATGTTCTTCATGGTGGTGGGGGTTTACAGGTGTGAGGGTCGTTTGCTGCGTGGGGGAAGGGTTCTATTATTTCATGTATTTTTATGCAAAAACAGAACAATATTTATGCGTCTTCCACAGCGTTTTCCGCGTGGGGGGCGGGTTCTACTTTTGTTTTTTGTTTCAAAACACAAGAATTTTTTCGCCTCTTGACAGATTTCTTACGACACACAACAGTATGTTCACCTCTTCCACAGATTAGCGTTCGGGATAGATTAGCAATGAATCCATAGGGTTATTTGACAATGACCAACTTGTGCGTGTGTGTTTGCATGCTTCCGGCATGTTGACCGCGCTTTGCATAGCCCTTGACACTTGAGGCAACCCTGTCCATCCTCTGTTTTCACGTGTCGTGGTTTGTTTTTCACCCCATGTTTTCGACACATGCGCAACCCTGCATTTCCCCTGTTTCATGCTATTACAATTTATTTCCACGCTACGACACCCTCGGCACTTCAGCAACCTTAGTATTTTCTCTAAGGTGTTATCTTCCTCGGAGTGGATGTTTGATGGTAGGTATTGTATTTGGTGAGGCCTCCCGTGGCGGCCAATGGTCTCGCCAAACGCTCGTTATAGCCCTATTCCTCTTGTGACCATCGCCTCAGGTCCGCATTGAGTTGAGACTCACGTTATGTTAGTTTTCCCTTCAGCGTGCACGCAGACCAAGTGGCCGCAACGTGAAATACCCGAGATCGAGCAAACACGAGCAGTTGCGACGATTTTGCCGGTTTACTTTTGGCTTGTTCACTCCTTCGACTCTTTTGCATCCGCATCCTTGCTATGTGTCATGTTTCTTGTGGCTTGTTCACCCCTTGAACTCTTGAGCAACCCACATCCTTTCTCCTTGTCATGCCTTTTGTGGCTTGTGGCTTGTTCTCTCCTACGACACGACGCCCTCCACAATTCAGCAACCTCGTCTGGGTGATCTTCGGTCCCTCGAGCTTGCTGTTCGCAACGTGGACAAAGTCCTTCGTGACCATGACAAGAATAGCGCTGGGGGAGTTCGACAACATCTACCCTCTCATGGTCGAAATTGATGGTGCTGCCGCCTTTATGATCATCGTCACGTACCAGGTACTCAAATCGTTTCGAGTATAATGACGTGTTGATGTTGCTGTTTGCAATTCATGATGGGGGGGTTGGGTTGTGTTGGCTGCAGTTGTGATCGTGCTGGTGGAAGTTGTACTGCAGCCTGCTGTTTTGTTCGTTGTTGGCATTGACAAGTGTTTTTGGTTGTCCATGTTGTTAGGTATATCTTGCGTGTTTTTGGTTGGTGTTGTTATGTCATTCGTCTATTCGTTGTTATTTCTTTCGTTGTCTCGTTGTTATCTCTTTCATTTTTTCGTTGGTGTTGTTGATAAAACGTTGCACTTCGGTGGAAAGATGTATGTAGTTTTTAGCGAGCGTCCGCAAGCACAGCAAATGGAAGACGGAAGTGGTAGGCATGGTATCGGCATTCACCTGAACCCAAATCTGCAGACACAGAAAATCCCACGGGCTTGCTGTAAATCGCCCCCATTCCGTGACTGACGGTATTCCCGATGTTTGTTTTATTTTTCGCTGCGAGGAGTAACGGAGTCATCGTCGCCAGTGTTTGTTGAGAGTATCGTTGCCAGCCCCGCCGTTGCTTCCGCTCCTTGCCTGTTGAACACCGGAACTCGTGTTTTTTTTCCGTTTTTGCTCCTCTCCTGTTTTGATTTTTTGCAGACGCTGCAGTGCATTCTTCTGCTGAACATCGTCATCTCCATCCTGCTCGATGCTTTCCAGGTTTGCTGTTGCATGAGGGATGTTTCTTCATACTCTGTCGAAACCGGAGACGATATCGAAGATGGGGTCGGAGCCCTTGTCGGAGATGTTGAGATGTTGTCGGAGATAACCACAGTCGCCTCATATACCTGTCCTTCACTGACTACACCTCCCCCCCTCCTCTCACCCTCTGGCAACTTGGACGGTACGTATTGACAACGATGATGGTGTTTGTGATGGATGATGCCAGATGGTCCAAAAGCGTAACTCGGTGGTAGCGGCGGACACTCTTTGGCAGACGGTGATGACTACATTGGGGCGATGGCGGATTCGTCTGACGCACGTGGGCTTTGCCTTGGTCGGCCGATGTCCGTCTGTCACCAGACGTTCCAGGTGCAGGTGTTGTTGTTTTCGTTGATTTTCTTGGTGGTGGTGTTGTTGCTGTTGCTGTTGTTGTTGTCGTTGATGATTTTCTTGCTGCTGCTGCTGCTGCTGCTGCTGCTGCTGCTGTTGGTGCTGGTAGAGGTGGTGGTGGTGGTGGTGGTGGTGCTTGTTGATGATGTTCTTGTTGTTGGTCTAGTGCATGTTTTTTTTTATGGAACAGCATGGATGGTCGTTTGGTGGGACAGATGCGGACTGTTCAGGGGCAACAGTGGTGTGGTTAACGCTGGTGAAGGTAAGCACGTTTACTCCCGAAATATTGCGGTACAGCATAGTGTGGACGCAGAATCAAACAGGTTTGAAGTCGGCTTTTGACGCTTTCCCGGCTGGCTGCGGTCAGCGTTTCTCCCACCACCCTACTTTTCAAGGAAACCACGAGTATACTGGTCCAGTCTGCCGAAACATGTGCATGTTTTTGTGTAATGTCCTAGCTTTACCCACTGCCCCAGTCGACCACAGCCTCCCTTGCCCCATAGGCTATACACCTGGCATCCTTCGCGTTGCTGTACAACACCAGTACCCAAATCATGTTCGTCACACACCCGTGCATGACACTATTACTATTACTATTACTATTTGGCAACGATAGCAACGTGCATGGTCAGTGGCCGCCACACGTAGCACGGCAATGAAAGGTCCCAAGTAATCCCCCCCCCCCCGCCCGTCTCCTCCTCCCCCCTCCAGTCCACGGGGTAGCAGTGTCGGTGATGATGCCGGCACGACGGTAGTCAAGAACCCTATGCACGACAGGCACGGCGGGCGGAAGCTACGGCAGAGACATCAACACACAGCACCTACGGCCGGTGGTACTAGCGCTGCTGCCGTTGCTGCTGCGGCTGGTGTGCCTGTTGCACCGCCGGGGATAACCGGGTCCAGTTCCCGCGGCGTTCCGTTGCTTCCATCGTCCGACAAGCGGAAGGTCAGCTCGAAGAACCGCGGCGGCGGCGCGACCAAGCGAGGGGGGCTTACTCGCGGACAGCGTTTGGCGATGTCCCACCGGCACTACGACCTTCGTACAGCGGTGGAGGTGCTGCGGCGGTCACCCTTGCCGGAGGCCGCGGTGTGGAGAAAAATGAGGCAGATCATCGGGGCAAGGTAATGGAACGGGATGGGATGAGATGGGGTATGCTTCATGGAATGCGATGGAATTGGAGCATCTTGAATGGAATGATATTGAACGGAATGGGATAGAGGAAATTGGGGCAGATCGTCGGGGCAAGGTGATGGGAGGGGAAGGGGCAATGATTTGTTTGTGTGTTCTTACCAGTGTACACACCTACCTCTCGATGTTGTTGTTTGACGTATTAACCGAGGTCACACAGATAGATGGGAATTAAACAGTATGGTGTAGTAATGGAATGGAATTGAATGAGATGGGGTGGAACTGAACGGTTGGAAATGGAATATGGAGTGTAGGCAAGGACGGGTGACCGAGGTGGATGGGGTTGTGTGGTGACGTTGTGCATAACCAGGACGTACTCGGTTCGAACTCCAGAAACTCCAACGGATGACCTTGCGTGGGTCAACTAGCACACACACAGCTACCATCCGCGCGCGGCTGCGGCTTCTTGTCCCTGCGATGCAACCCGCCACTGGTTTATACTCAACCAACCGGTTATCAACCCCCTCTCGAGCACGCGTGGTCAATTGATGGTCTAAAAATAACGGCAAGCCAAACACGAGTACGCCCTCTCCCCTCCTGTTCCGGGCTGTGCAGGTTAGGGTGGGTGTCTGAGGGAGCGGGCAACACGGGGAAGCCACTGCAGCCGGGGGCGGCGTGGGGAAGAAGCCAAAGCCGTAGATTTAGCAAGCGTTGACGTCGCCGCAGCGGGCGCTTTGTGAAATGTGAATCAAAGTACATTGTTGATTGAACCATTTTTTACTGGTATTAGTTATTTCCACGCTGCAGACACCACCGCCCCCCCTCCCCGCTTGGAACGAGTTTCCCTTGCAACTCCACCATGAGCCTGGGTAGAAGACACTTCCGACCACGTATCGTAAGGGAAGAACATGCTGTTGACGTGACAAGACGCTCCGTCGATTGTACCGTTAATTAGCCGTCAGGGCATGTCCCGCGTTGTTGGGTGGAAATGATGCAAGACATTCATTTACCCCCGGCTGTGATTGTAAAGCATTCTCCCGCCGGTGTCAATGTGTCACAAGTCGTGTGTGAGTGGCGGGGAAGAGGGGGGCGAGGCCTTCCCTTCGCGCAAGTGTATACTGTACAGTACAGTGCATGCAACAGCAGCCCGGCTGCAGTTTTGATGTAATGATTTCGTGTGTTCGCCGGTAGGAAAGAGAATATGACAACGCGGCTGAGACCAACTATTGTACTGTGTACGTCCGACCAGAGAGAGAGAGAGAGAGAGAGGGGAGGGGGGGGTACTGTTGTGTTTTTCATCCCTCAGCGGTCATAGACCATTGACCAGGCGTCCTCTAGAGGGCGGAGCACTCTTCCCACAGGACCGATCACCGATGGCCGGGGGGGGGGGGTAGACAAAATGATCGTTCTAGTCTCTGATGCTTGTGCTCACAGTTACAAACTTTTGCTAACGAATGGTGCGTGCTTACGGCCAAGTTCCGTGACAAAAGGGGTACCTTCTTACAGTCATACCGGCCCGGCTCAACTGACGCGGACACCTTCCTTGGTCTCAGGCCAAACAATTTCCCAAAAAAGAGGATTGGAGAGGCGTAAACATCAATCTTGGGTAGCTTTTCGCCTGCCTCCTTCGACCCCTATATTGCCCGCAAAGAACGGCCAGGTGCAAGCAAGTACGCGAGTGCGAGACTCGGAGCATGCACCTCTTTTAACACATGGCACATGCACATGCGAGGGCGATATTCGCTCAACCAATGAAGCCTGCTGCCACGACGCTACTTGTTCCCTCCAAGCCGGTAGAGATGCCGGCTTTGGCGGAGTTCGAACCTTAGCCTTGGCAGAAGGGTGAAAAACGCAGAGTCCCTTTTTTCACAAGCCCCAAAAATGTTTTCCTGTGAAAATCACAAGTTGCAGGCTACATATTTACATTGCATCAGGCACCCAGAGGTGAAGCATTTACTTCGAAGAAGAAAGAAAAAACAATAAATTTATTTTTTAACATGAAACATCACTCCATCCATGGATGAGACTTGACCTACCAAGAGATGCGATCATGTGCCTGGTGATGCTCTGTGTCTCTCGTGACGAGGAGTATCAAACGCCGACGTTCGTAAGGTGAAGCTGGGAAAGGCGTCAACCGCGGTAGTTACCGGAGAGTCCGACAAGCGCATGGTGACCGCCGCCGGCCAAACAAAACAAAAAAATCGATACTCAAGCGTACACCAACCCGCTTAGCCTGACTATACAGGAAACGGAGACACCTCGGGGCATGCCTGGCGAACCTCTATCGTGCGCTCGCGGCATCCCCCAACCGCTGCGCGCATCAATTTCACCGTGAATATTCTCGACAATCTAAGCGGCGCACTCAGGATCAACCTACAAAAATGGCTTTCCAAACCAGGGTCAGTCACCCTTCCCAGGCTTCCCCGCGGTGGGCGAATCATTCATTGTCGAACCAAGTATTTTTCTTTTTTGCTCTGAAAAAACTCTTCTCCGAAAAATGGCAGCACCATTTCCCCGCGAAATATATTACGGTCGTTAGTTGCGTCCCATCCAAGATACCTTCAAGATACCTTCATCTAAACTCAGGATGAGACGATTACTGCTGCCGACACCTCACAAAAACTACCTTCCAATTAAAACACACACGAGGAACGACAAGATGTGAACAATTCTCAAAGGGGCAAGGGCGGCCCTTTTCGCCTTCCCTCAGCGCCAGTAACTGCTGCTCCCCCATGCCCCCGCTCCTCAACAGAACAAACTGTCAGAAATATACAATCCAGCCAGACCAACAACTCCAAGTAAGCCCCGTAGATACAATGTAGCCAAGGGTACATAGATACCATGCGGGATCCCCTCTTATTGTGTTTGACGGGACTCGCGCTTCCGTCGTCCCCGACACAAAGCAAAACAAAACACACAACGCGAACACGAGGCGTGGATCGTGACGTCATGTTACGGGGGGTGGTTACCGTGTGCTTTCACACACACCCCGGATCAGAGGACACGATGCTCGCTGGCAACTTTTGCGACGGCGTCGGCGGTTGTTTGTCATCACACGACACCCCCGCTTCCACGCCAGCCGGAGGAGGCTAGGGGCTCCGCAGAATGTTGCTCCACGCCCCACCCCCGTGGGTCACGGCTGCTCCCTGAAACAGAAAAAAAATAATATGTGAGACGTGACGGCAGCAGCTGTTATTGAGAGAGAATGACAATCGGGTCAAAATCAATCCTCGACACGTTTCAATAAGCAAAAAAAAAAAGAAAAAAAAAGCGTGCGACGGATGCCAACAGGCCAAAACAGTACTGGGCGTTGTGTGTCGTTATTGGCATTAAAAATATGGAAATCTTTGCCGTTACAAGTACACGTATACACGTATGCAAGACTTGACGTGTCAAAGGCGAGACCGAAACGTCAGGAACGATGACGACACGGGCATCGGGACGAAACAAAAATGAACTACAGTGTTTGCCTATGAAACACATGTGCAAAGCAGTAACGCAAGCAGCTCCCTGTGTGTATCAGAGTCCGAGCTCTCATTACCATGAAAAACGGTTGCAAGTCGGCAGCGTACGAGAATGCAGAACGAAGAACACGCGGACAAAACAACAGCAACAACAGCAGCAGCAACCACAACAATAGCAGCAGCAGCAACAACAGCACCATCACCAGCAAATAGCAAAACGGCAGGCGACGGCCCCAAACACACGCCGAACCTGACAAGCAATCAACACGCTCTCTCTCACCCGAGTCGGGCAGCCCCCCCCCGCCCCCGCCCCCCATCCACCGCTGATGTTGTCGCTCGTCCCCCATCCCCTGCCCAGGCTTGGCGCCCCTGTCTAAGTTCCCGTCACTGCTCGATAGCCCATCGTAGCCCGCGTGCTCCGTGCTCAGAGAAGGGGGCCCGCCCCACATCATGCGCAGAGTGCCGTCGTTATACGACAGGAACAGGAACAGCCCAAGGGTACACGGGACTAGGTACAGGAGTGCCGGCTGAGGGAGCGCGAAATAAAAACGGGGGGGGGGGGGG